AGGGACCTAAGGAGGTCATCTAGTCCAACCCCCTGCCTCAAAACAGTACCATCTCCAACTATACCATCCCAGCCAAGGCTTTGTTTAGCTGGGTCTTAAAAGCCTCCAAGGATGAAGATCCCACAACCTCTCTGGGTAGCCTGTTCCAGTTTTTCCTACTATCTAACCTAAACTTCCCTTGCAGCCACTTGAGCCCATTATGCCTTGTTCTGTCATCTGCCACCATTAAGAAGAGTCTAGCTCCATCCTCTTTGGAACCATCCATCAGGTAGTTGAAGGTTGTTATTAAATCCCTTCTCAGTCTTCTCTTCTCCAAACTAAATAAGCCCAGTTCCCTCAGCTTCTCCTTAGAAGTCATGTCCCCCAGCCCCCTAATGATTTTTGTTGTCCTCTGCAAGACTCTCTCCAATTTGTCCACATCTTTTCTGTAGTAGTTGGTCCACAACTAAATACAGTACTCCAGATGTGGCCTCAGGAGTGCTGAATAGAGGGGAAGAAACACTTTCCTCAATCTGCTGGCAACGCTTCTACTGATGTAGCCCAGTATGCCATTAGCCTTTGCAACAAGGGCACGTGGTTGGCTCATCTTCAGCTTATTGTCCACTGTAACCCTTAGGTCCTTTTCTGCAGAGCTGCTACTTAGCCAGTCAATTCCCAGGCTGTAGCGGTGCATGGGATTGTTCCATCTTAAGTGTAGGACTTTGCACTTCTCCTTATTGAACCTCATGAGATTTCTTTTGGTCCAATCCTCCAATTTGTCCAGGTCTCTCTGAATCCTGCCCTACCCTCCAGTGTATCTACAGCTTGGCGTCATCTTCCAAGTCACTGATGAAGATATTGACAAAAACCAGATCCAGGACAGACCTCTGGGGCACTCCACCCGATACCAGCTCTTCAACTAGACCTTGAGCTAGACTACTACCCTCTGAGCCCAATGATCCAGCCAGTTTTCTTTGCACCTTGCAGTCCATTCATCCAACCCATACTTCCTTAAGTTGCTTACGAGAATGTTGTGGGAGACCATATCAAAAGCTTTGCTTAAGTCAAGGTATATCACATCTACTGCTGTCCCTGCATCCACAGAGCCAGTCATCTCATCCCAGAAGGCAATCACATTGATAAGGCATGACTTGCCTTTGGTGAATCCATGCTGACTGTCCCTAATAACCTTTTTCTTCCAAGTGCTTAGAAATGGATTCCTTGAAGATGTGCTCCATGACTTTTCTAGGGACTGAGGTGAGGCTGCCTGGTCTGTAGTTCCCCAAATCCTCCTTCCCTTTTTAAAGATAGGCACTGCTCTTTTCCAACAGCAGCCAGGGAGATTTTTGTTTTGTTTTTAAAGTTAGACATGGCTGCAAAACCCACAGTAGTTAGCAGACGTAATTAGCAAATTTGCCTCTGAGACTGCTGATATATTACCTGAAATTTTTAAGTAAAAAAAATTCCTGTGAAAAAACACACAGGAAATAGATTTCATGCAATGAAACCAAATACAAGGAGGGCAGGAATTAACATACCTATTGAAAACATTTCCCATCAAATCACAGGACAAAGTGTTATAAGTGGTCTAAGCTTCAGGACATGAGAGAGTTCTTAATGAGTGTTTTGGTTACTTTTGTTCACTTTCAGCATTATCTGTATAGACAGTTCCTGAGCTGGCTGTGAAATAAATAGAACTAGAGCCTGTAAAATCACTCCTTTCTTTAGAAAAAAGGTGTCCCTTCGTCTGAGTTCCATCTGGAGGAAACCCAGAAGGTGACTTGACTTCTCTACCATCATGTGGCTCCATCCCTTGCTGCCAAGTAGTGGAGGGGGGCAGGGCTACATGACATGCAGCCCTCAACTAATCAGTGGTGAAGGGGTGGGGGGGAAGGGGCAACCCCCCCTCTCCCCTTCCCTCCCAGCAAGCCGCACAGCGGGGCTGCAGGACTACAAAGATGATGATGAAAATACTTAGCTGATGGAGAGCTAGGTATTTCTTGCATTTATTCCACACCTTATAAACTTAAGCTCCATTTTGTTTTTAATTTTTTTCCTCCCTTTGCATGGCATTTTAAATAATTTTATTCTCTTCGCAACATTTTTGGTTGGCAAATTTATAGTAGGATACCATTTTATACAGCCCAATTCTATTTCTAGTTCCAGTTCAACACCCCTGTTCACAGGTGTGGTAGTGCTGTTTGGATTCTCTATACAGGCAGTCCTTGGACTTACAACAATTGGTTCCTGAAAACCCCATTTTAAGTCGAAATGTTGCAACTCGGAACCAATTCTGTCATAAGAAACAATGTTATAAATCGGGGATTGGTTCCTGAACCCAGGCCCGATACCCTATTTTCACCAAAAATACCCCATAATTTTGTACTCGATCAATTATAGATGAGTCATATAGCTACATTAATATATTTATATTGTAAATAGCAATCATATTGATTTGGAAGGACTTCTTTGAGGTGACATTGCTGGACTTTTTGAAGGGCTCTTGGTTGGATGTTTTGAAGAGTTCTTGGCTGGAGTCTTGGTTGCAGGTTCTTCTGGAGCCTTGTTTGCTTTCTTAAAGAAAGTGTCCAAGGAAGTTTGGACAGATGTTCTCCAGGGAGATGAGCAACACAGTGAAGTTGTTTGCTGGTATGGCATCGCATGGGATCAAGCATTGTAAGTTGAAACTGGTGTTGTAAAGTTGAAACAGGGTATCAATTTATAAACATTGTAAGTGCAAAATGTTGCAAGTCAAGGACTGCCTGTAGTAGAGATCAACTTTCCCTCTGTTAATGACAGACCAAGGGGCTGAGGCATATTAAATACCATATTTACTGATGCATCACCTACAGCTTTTTCCCAAAAACCTCTTCTTATTAACAGGCATGCATCTGGCCCTGCTCTTCCTGCAACTTCACTGAATCTAGGCACCCTGCATCTCACTGATTGCTGGCTTCTGGAGGTATGCTTTGTGGTAGTGTCACACAGACCAAGAGCAGGAGCTTGTCAGGTGCCTTCAAATGAAAACAACTTATTTCTAAAAACATATCAACTAGCTGTGCATCAAAGTATAAAAGAAAGACAAAAATGTTCTTTCCTTACTGCACTGAGCAGATTGCAGGCTGGTCTGTGCTGGGAAAATGTAAGTTATTAGTACCCTGATATACCTCCCATACTACGTGGGGGTAACCCTCCAAGCTCTCTACTACAATCAAAGTGAATTTATGAACTGCAGGGTACAGGATAAGACCACTCTCTGTGACATTCAACATTTTCCATCTTTAAGCTCTCCACTTCATCTTAACAATGCATGTTTTGTGCTGCCTGTCTGTTGAACACATTTACTTGTGCCTTTCATTAAGGTATCTGCATACTGTTCCACATTGCATGCATGCAAAACAAAAAATGGAACCAGGTAGAAAAAAAACAATAGAGTGAGAGCTTGGGCTTAGTCAGAACTGTAAGATGGCTGAGGATACATGACTGCCCCAGCACACTCCATCACCTGGTGCAAAGAATGGGGATCTGGACAGAGACAGGCGAGGATTTGCAGTTTGTCCCAGAGACAGGTAAGGAGCCTGTCTTGGAACTAGTTTTTACAGCTCACAGTTCCACATCTGAGAAGTTCTCTCCCCTCACCTGGATCCTAACTAAGAGGAGGCATCGGGAACAGGCTTATCAAAACCTCGTCACAGCTGCTCAGAATGGGCTGATTTCATAAAAAGCTTCATTTGTATGATGCTGAAAGCTTGTAATGTAGCTGTGTGTTTGCGGGCAGTCAACAGATTCCTGGGCATGAACAAATAGATGTAACCAATCCCTCCATCCTTACAAAATGCAGCTCATTAGCAGCTACATTCTCTCCAACTGTTGCAGCTTCCTGATTATTAGCCTCAAGAGAAAAATCAGAAGCATGGGGGCATGGTAACAGTCTGCTCTGAACAAAGAACATGTGCACAGAAAATGGATGGACTTTCTAAATAATCCAGAAATGGGATAAGCATACTCAACCACTGTCATGATATTTAATAGGGCTGTGCAAAGCTTTGGTCGCTGATTTGATTTGGAGATTTGGCCCAATTCGGCAGCCAAATCTCTGAATCCAAAGAAAATCAGGAGACATGTTAATCTCTCCAAATCAAATCAGAAGCCTCTGATTCACTTCGGAGAGATTTGATGATTTGGACACAAGAGACAGCTTTATATGTTTTTTCTACATACTTCACAGTACCAGGTGGCTCATGAATCCTGAGATGGTAGGGTGGACGGAGTGTCCTACAGGAGTGCAGGGGGGTCTCCTGGGTCTGCTGCCAAGTGTGCTGCAGTGGACTAGAAGCACTTCTGGTCCACTTTGAGTCCTCTGCAGAGCATGTGGGGAACCCCCCTTTGCCCCCTGGCTCAGCGACTGGTGCCTCCTGGGTCCGGGGTGGGCAGCTGGGGTCCCTCCCGTGGCTGATCACCAAGCCAGAGGGTGTGTGTGGCGGCAGGGGGGGCGGTCCTCTTCTGGGATGCTCCATCCACCCTACCATCTCAGCATTCACGAGCTGCGCCTGGTACCTTGAAGTATGTAGAAAAACCATATAAAGCTATGTCTATGGCTGAATTGCTGATTCTCCAAATCAGAATAGAATCTTCAAATTTCGGTTCGGCTGAATCCAATCAGGACAGGAATCTGAATCAACGAATCAAATCACTGTCCCCTGAATTGGGCCAAATCTGAATCGAATAAGGCCCACTTCACACACCCCTAATATTTAACACACCATGTAAGAGCCATTAAAAAAAAGTTTTAATGAAAAGTAAATGTTAATGAAAATGAAAATTTTCTGTACTCTTTTCTACTTAAGGCTTTTCCTTTTTAAGAGTGAATGTATACAAGAAATGTATCATGTTTCTTAAACTTTTCTATTCCTAACTGGTCTCCACATTTGTAGCACATTTTCACTCCAGGGAGTGGTAAACAAGAGCTTTAAAAACTGCAACTATTAGGTGTGTCATAAATATCAAGGGACAAGAAAGGATATTGTATACTCATGAATTTAGGACCTTTTAATGTAATTCAGAGGTCACATCGCATTTTTGTAGGCATCTCAAAGTACAACATACAGAATTTATCACAAATCCTCTTCTCTTATTTTTTCAAAAACGCGGTCCTCTTCATTTGGCTTAACAAATGTCCTTTTTCTTGGTATAAAACCAGAAATCTGAAGAGAAACAGGTACAGTTAGATAGGACTTGCATATTATTTATTATACTTTTAGCCAAGGAAGTTGACAGAACTGAGATAATGATCACTGTTACTAACTAAAGGGAAAAAAAGTGAGAGATGCAATCCTGTTTTACTGTTGTAGTAGCTGGCATTTCTCGATCAGTGTTTTGGAGTGGACAAAACTTATGTATAGGGGATTCATCCCAGTGATTACTACTTGCTTACAATAATGTTTATTTCAGTGCATTAAAGGTGGTATAAGCTGGGACATGCAGATTTGCATTTTACTACTGTTTCTGTTCCTGAGAAACTACAGCCTAGTCCAAACATTCACATACCCATGCTAATATGATCAGGCAGACCCACAGTCTACTCATGTGTGCTCATAAAGGACTATTGCGTTTAAATGTTAGGCATGTGCAAAAACATTTATATAAAATGGCGTCTAAATCAATAATTTAGACCTACACACTGCAAATATGTGTTTCATCTTGTGCCTTCAGAATGCCAATATTGTTCCAGGCTTTGGTATGGGATACTAGCATAGGTAGAGGGAGAAATTATTAGTGGGGGGGAGGGGGAAGAGGGGACTTAGCATAAATGTGCGCACACATACCACCCAGCAGGTAAGTCTGTGGAGGGGAAGGGGTGGGGGAGGCAGACTGAGGCCCCCACAGTGAGGGAGTGGGGGAGGGGCAAATGGGGCCACAGGGCAGGTCACGGGATGATCAGAGCCTGGGCAGCTCAGCCAGGGGGCTCCTGTCACTGCACACACCACAGGGGAGGCATGGGGGGCACATACCCCCCAGATTTGTGTGCAGAGCAGAGGCAGGCTGCTGCTGCAGGCTGGGGCTCTGTGCCCTGCTGCCACTGTCTCAGGGAGCTATGCGATCCCATGTCTGCAGCACATCCCCTGCCCACCCAGTGGCAGCAGGCACATAGCATTGCACGTGGCTCCCATGGCAAAGGCAGCAGGGCACAGAGCCCCAGCTTGCAGTGGCAGCCTGCCTCTGCCCCACACACAAAATCCAGGGCAGCATGTGGTCCCTGTGCCTCTCCTGGTGTACGTGCAGCGGCAGGAGCCCCCGTGTCCCTGGATGAGCCACCCAGGTTCCCACAACCCGTCCCAGCCCTGGGGCCCCATTCACCCCAGGCCCAGCCTCCGCCCCACTCCCTCCCTCACTGTGCAAGCCTTGATCTGCGCCCACACCTCTTCCCCTTCACAGACTTGCCTGCTGTGGTGGGTAGCGCTCCACATGTTGTGGAGCTGTGATCCTGGCTGTGTGCAGTCTGTGGCTGCATGTCTACATCTGTGCATACCCTTCTACCTGCTGCTGCAGCCACCTGGAGCCCATGTCCAGGCTGCCCCGTGCGCTGCTACCACTGCTCCGTGTTTGGGGGGGCTAAGTCCTGTTAGCCCCAGTCTTCCGCTGCCTATGGACACCAGACTTATTCCAACAAATGACAGACTCTGCCCCAAGCTTTCCTACCAAGCAGTCACCTGACTGCTGTAAAGCTGTAAGTGTCCGCTAGTGTGACATGCCATTTGTAGCTTACTGTCTACATCTGGGAAATGTAGAGGACGTCTTGCATATCTTCCAAACAGCCGATATCTTGCCTCATACATTAAACTGTTTAATACTATAAAAAAGTATTTTATAAATATTATGGCAGCCCTGTTACAATAATCTAACAGCGATTATCTGTACAAAGTTTTGCTTATACTATAATTACTAAGTAAGACTAGTTATTTCAGTTCCTGTGTTCAGAAACTCTTAAAGGATTCAGTCATTCTAAGTTTGGTAGATGTTTGAATGCTTCATAGACTGTATATATGGATTTTTGTTTTAATCACCTGCTTGGTAATAAAATTCTTGCTTCTAGCCAGCGTTCCCTCTAAATTGTGAGGCATGCATGACTGCGCAGGTGCTCCTGGCAGCATGGTATGAGTATGCCTGCGCAGCTGCGCACGCCACACAGCTTAGAGGGAATGCTGCTTCCAACTCGGCAGACTGTTCTTGATCTTCCTATTAACTAACTTTTGCATCTGTACTGGATAATCTATACAGAGGTTATTTATAGGCTATCCTGCTAGCACTATATTGTGTTGCTCTTGGGCAGCACAAGAAATTAAGATCAGATTTCTTGTTCCCATGATTAGGCAGCAAGCACCTGGTTTAGCACTGTAAAAATCCCTCCAGGGCTAGAAGAAAAATTAGAAAGGCCTTTGAAGACTATGATGGGAGAAAATAAAGAGACAGTCTAAGTAACTCTCCCCTCTGTATGAAAATTTACAGGCTGAGTTTCTAAAACAAACGGCAGTTTAAAGGCTTGAAAAAGGGGATAGAACAGGGATGCCTCAAGCAGCTTAGTTTTTAACTCTCCCACGTGTTTTGATATGTTCAACTAAATAAGATTAAAGATTTCAGTGGATTCATTGCCCATTTGATAGCTTAACAGTGCATATCACAGATGGGCTGTGTAACCATCAAAAATCCTGCATATTGTTAAAATTAACTGACAGAGCTAATACTCTGTAGTCTGGTAATCCTAAAATCAGATGCAGAAATGATCAAGGAGGACCTAACCCATTACTGGTTTTATAGGTCATGAAGAGGATTTTACAGGCTGTACATAAAGTTGCTAATATTTCTTGCAAATATTCAATAAAAGGGCTAATACTCAAGAGAAACATCAGCTCAAGCAAGCACTTTGATCTGTGAACAGTTTACTTTTAGAGGTCACTAAACATGAAATTCACTGCAGTACAGACAATCCTCCAGATCACAAGAGCCCTTTACGCCTCATTTAAATACTCTGTAGAGGGGCCCTCTGAACTGGGGTGAATGTCATCCTAAAAATGTCAGCAGTGAAGTTATATGAAACATATATTTGAATGAAAAGAGATGCCCTGAACAGGTACGGTCACACACTGTCGAGCAAGAGTAGTAACATCTGTGACTGCTAAATATGTGCCTAAAGGAGACTAACCAGGCAAGTCCTTGGGTCCTTAATTCAATCCTTACTAAAATTACATATCAAGAATGACTTATTCTGTACTTTTAGTTCCCTTTTTCATGTACAAGCTATCTGTACACCAATGTGCATTTTTATATTGCAATTGCCACACTGGATTCAGTGTCACGGTCCATTTAGAGTAGTATCCTGCCTAGAATTATGGCCAGGACCAGGTACATCAGAGTACAGGACATAAGTCTACGAAAGATAATTTAATAATTTGGTCAGAGAGAAAATTTCCTCCTACCTTCTGGCTGGGGAGAAGACCATGTGGCCTATTTAAATTTTGCCTGAATCCTGCTACGATCTTATCTTGATTTCTTTCACCAATGAGTCCCAAAAAGTCAGCTCTGTTGCTTTCCAATTTATGTATTTGGTTATTGTTCAGCTAACATTTTAACTGACCATATTTAATTCAGTGGATGTTCCAAGTATTAACCATGAGCATGGGTTGGAGCAATTGCTACGTGCAATTAGTGTTGTATTACTGGTCACTCAGTGTGTTCTTCCGACTCTCTCACTGCATAACTGCCATGAAGGAGATTCCAAGATTACTGCACAACACTTGCAGAGCAAATCTTTGTGCAAGTACATAATCTACACAAACACTTGCAAGTGGCTATGTGCACCTACACGCATACATGGAACATTTTTACTTTCTGCAATCAAGATTTCACTCAAACACTTTGGCAAAAATCAAAGAGTAGCAGATTGTTGCTAAGCCCATTAATACAAGTTAGCATTTTTAGTCTAAGACGCTTCAAGTTTTCTTCCAGCCTTCATCCAATTCTAATTCGTTTTCAGTGGAAGCCTGCCTAGGTGAGGAACCCCGTTATTTGGTGCAAACGATGTTAATAAGAAAATCTGCTTGTAATTATAATTTCAGTTACTTGTTTCACTTACTTGGTTCTGTTGCATGCTAGAATTCTTGCTTTTACTGGATTCAGGCATCTCAATCTGCTGAAGAGAGTAGTGAGATTAGCATATAACAAGCCTAGAGAAAGCAAGTACAAAGACAAACCACACTGTACACAGACAAAGCAAACTGGTGCCAGGACTGGATTCCAGTGAAGCTGGTGGAAGCTGCACATTAATAGTCCTGTTCATAGTCACTCTAGCTTTCCAGCAGTAGCAACAGAAGCTGAATATTACACACCACTACATTTAAAACTTTAAAATTTACCTATCTTACTCAGCAATCTAAAGATGAAAAAAAAACAGTTTCAAAATTCAACTCAAAATCACCTATTTTTGGTAGTTCATTGTTTTAAAACTGTGAACACAGAAGTCATTTGTTGCCTTCTTGTTCATTTTATGAGCAAAGTCTCACATGCAATTCCCCCCTGCAAAGAAAAAGACTTTGACAGAACAGCAGTCTCAGTCTCTTTGGATATAGGAATGTTAACAAAGGCATTATTAACATTAAGCATTGGGATACTGACCACTGGTGCAGAAATGCCTGGAAGTGTTACAGATTTAAATTTAAAGCTTCTTATGTAAAAGCAACAATGAGGAACCTTCTGGTAACAAGTTTTAATTTTAGTATGTATTAAAATTCCCTCTATGAAGAGGCAGATTGCTTCCAATTTTTTTAAAGGATGTTTCTTAGATTAGTCTTAGATCACAGTAAATACTGTGAACAACTCCATTAGGGAAAATGAAGATTCAGGCAAGAATACAGTTGTCAAGATGGATGCATTAAAAACAGTGATGGTACCAGCATGCTTTCCTATGTGTGAAAAATAAAATCTAAATGGGAAATGAAAGAGACCAATTTTAAACATTCTTCTGGCAAGAGGTCATCTTTAAAACAGCATTTCTTGTGACATTTCCACCCTCTTATCAATTAATTCTGTGACAACATATAAAATGTTGGAAGCCGCAAAAACTGCTATACTAGGACTCCCTCTAACTCAGCTGCAATGAGGGTGGCAGCAGTGGAAGCTCTGTTCCCTTAAAAGGTCCCCCAGTATAGCTGAAACCATGTGCAATTCACAGCCAGGCTGACGCATGCAGGCTCCAACAGTTGCACTGACAGCCTGACTCACCAGTTCTTGCTCTTTGGTTGTCTTCATCAGCTGTTCCGATATCATTTTTTTAAAGCAGCTGCTTAGCAGAAATGCCTTACAATGGATAAAAAGAATGGATTTTAGCTTCTCTTATTAAAAAAAATTCCTCAACTTCCCTGCCCTTCCAGTCTGTAACCCAGTTCTTAGTCTTAGAATTTGGTTAGATTTTACTCCACATTTAAAATATATGCAGTCAAACCTACTTGCTGTTTTTATCATTGGTCCTGTAAAGTAAGCTATTATTTTATAACTGCCTACTGTGCACAGCTGTGAGGCAGTTCAAATGCACTTAGGGCTAGTTTAGACTATTGAAATGTGGCATTATCTGCATCAGTACAAGTACCTATTCCCACTTCTAATGTGTCCATAAGCATTGAGAATCTAGAATTTCAAGAACAGAAAATGGAAGTGGCTGGAATTTTATTCCCCTGAAAAGTCAGATCCCATGTGCTGTCAATTCACATGCATCACTACAATCTCTGGGAGCCAGCACTACTACCATTACACCTTACATAGTTAGTGTCCATGTGGACTAAGGCACCAACATGTTAGCTTGCACAGTTCGACTGGGGCCTGATGCAAAGTCAAAGTTACTGGGAACTTAATGGGTTTCTGGATCAAGCTCTTGGCCCTTCCAGATGCCAGCACCTTTCCAAGCTATATATTCTTTTTCTTTTTAAGTGGTAAGATTCCTCACTCACTTGAGCAAACCGAGACCTTAATTTAAATACATTCAGCAGAAGAACTAACAAGGGAATTTCAGTTGTCTGTTCTCTCATGCCAGCGACCCAGAAGAAAAGCTGCCTCTGCTGAACGCTGGTTATTTGGAGAGGAGTCATGTTCTCGTAAAATGTAGAGCAACAACAAATAAATATGCTGCTACATAATAGTGGAGATTATAAAGAGTCACATTGGAATGCAGAAGTAATGAATGAAAAAAATATGCATTTTGATTTCACTTGGAAAGTTCTCACTGTTACTAAGTGGGGGTTGAGGAAGACAAGAGAAGAGAAGGAAGAAGAAACAGTTTATTTGAGGAATGAACCTCTTCTTTCTTTTGTTTTTAGAAGTGCCAGAACCAAGACACCCAGAATCAAAAACATCCATAGAATCTACATAATTTGATATTTCTACTAAGCATCTTAATTGCATATTTGCCATGTCTCTTCTGCGATTTTTAAAAGAACTGCCAGAAATTAGATGGAAGGGATGGGACATTAATGGGGATGTGTTTACAATATGCCTACATAGATTTAGAGCCACTATGAACCTCGTTTTATTTATTTAACCTGGATTTGGGCAAGAGGCTTATGTGTTCCACATGCCATGTGGAAGATGGGCTTTTTAACCTGTCAGGAATACTTAAAGGCCTGTGTTTGTAGACAGTCACTAGGCTAGTAAATAATAAAAGAAAGTCAGCATTGCTTCATACCATATTAACTACAAGACATTTCTCACACCATGAAGGAAACACCCTGCCCCCTGCACTGCGAGGTATTTGAGCTTTCATATAACACTGTTCCTAGACTAAGCTGGTATAGACAGCAGCTGCATCCAGCCACAGAAACTGTACATGCTTATTCTAAAGAGTAGAAGTCAGGCCCATTGCCTACCAGCCTACCTTTCTTTGCTGGCCACCTTTTTACTGCCTCCAAACTAACCTGTTTTGTGTAAAAGACTACCCATTTCCATGTGTCTGAATCATTGTACTCGAACCTGAGCTCCAGGGTCTCATCACTCCCTTCACCATTTGAATCTGTAACAGCACCCTGAAAAGCAGAAACAGAAGAAACAGCTACAAAGTGGCATTAACTCAGATTTAAGGTTGGACTCTTTAAATCTGACAACTTCACTTTATGCCACTTGGCTGAAGATACTCCAAAGTGGCTAGAGTTCTGTATTGGTAAAGTGCCCCTTTATGCATGTGGGGAACCTCCACCAGTATAAAGTTGGCTAAAGTGGCCCTGCTGCCTCCTACACTGCTCTACTCACAGTCTGGCATATGGGAAGACAGATGGAGTGCAAAGGGCTGCATCCAGGGAAGGGAAGAGACCTTGTCAGAATAATGCATCTCCATGCCCGATTTGCCACAGGCATAAAAATCAATAAAGGAATTTATGTTAAGAACCAGGGAACTACAAGCAGCTCCCAACAGCATTAAGCCTTCCTTCAGGGAAAAGAAAGGGCAGGAGAAGAAAATTAAGATCTATTTAAACGGAGCATAGAAAGGTGTGAAGCCAGCGAGATACTTACTAGAAAGGTGACCTGCCAGCACCTCACTCTGTTGATCTTGAAGCTGATTACTTTGGTCTGATTAGTAGGCAGTTTTATGCAGCAGTAAATCTCATTATTCCCCACATGGACATCTGCAGAACAGCCTACTTCTGGATAATCACAGGTGCAAGGATCAAGCTTTATGTATCCATAGTGCTGCACTTCACTAACTAGCTCTAAAAACTGTATCAGAAAGACAGAATTAGGAAGTTCTACAAGACTGATGAGGAGACAGGTGTGATCTAGTGACATAAGCAATGGGCTAAAAATGAAGGACTGAAGGTTTTTAGTCTCAGCTCTACCAACTAATTTTCACCTATGATCAGATAGTACTTCCCTGTCTGCAAGTCACTGGGAATATAAATATGTAACCTCAAGATTCAATTTAAGAAGTTATTTCTCAGAGAATTGGAAATCACATGCATGTCAAGGGTCTTCATCCTGCAGTATGTTCTTAATGTGTTTATCTTAATTTAACAGAACACTTTACCTTCATTTTGTTTGCTGATTTTTGTAGCAATTCAAGTTTCTGCATCTGTTCATCTGTGGGTTTAACCCAGTTCCTCTCAATTTCCTGTACTGCCTTAAATGAAGTTCAAAAAATTAGTAAACTTTAGCAAGTTTCTCCTTTTTGTCCCATTAGTAGAATAAAAATCCCAGAATCTTTTAAAACAGGACCTTATATTTTCAGACTTCTTGTTATCTTTGGCAGATATCCTAGAGTTATTCTCAGCTTGCTTATGCAAAGCTTTGATCCAAGGCACTCAAAGTATTACAACATAGTATCGTAGAAAATTGGGGCTGGAAAGGATATCAGGAAGTCACTAGTCCAATCCCCCTGCTCAAGGAAAGAGTCATCTCCGCCTAGCCATCCTAGACAACTCTTTGTCTAAACTGGTCTTAGAAACTTTGGAAACAAAGCCTCACATACAACTACCAAGCATTATCACCAAAACTTCAAGAACACCCTTTAGTTTGCCCAAAAAGTCTGCTAGTCTAGAGCTTGCGTGGGGCTGCTCCCATACTAAGTTTGAAACCATTTACTATCTCTCTACTGAGAATTCAAAGTTACTACAGGAGATTTTCCCCCACCTTCTGAGAGCTAAGAGGAGATCTTACAGATTTTTATTCGATCATCCAGAATAATTAATCTCTGGAAAGAGACCAACACAAGGGGATATTTTGATCCTTAAAAAGACAGGGGATTTTGTTTTTAAATAATGGAAGTAGTTTAGAACAAAACTGCAGTCTCAACCTTAACACCACCATCATAACACCATCTACAGATTGTCATGAGGAGAATGTGGAAGGGAACTCAAGTTACTACCTTCATGTAAAGAATTATTATACTAAGAAGAAACAGGTAGATTATGCAGCAGGTTTACTATGCAGTACAGAGAACATGCTCCTCAACAGTGCTCTCTTTTTATTATTTTAAGAAAGAAAAAAATGTGGCAAGATTGAATAGAAAGAAACTGTACTTTTTCCTGCTTAGGATCATTTAAGCAAAAGTCATTTAAAAACACATTTCTTATATTAAGATGGGGAAATAGCTTTTAGAAATACCATGGATTTCCATTTTTACCTGCATATAGAGTAAGTTCACTGAGGCTCTACAGTCCAGCAGCATTTTATCAAGGGCTGGATCCATATACCTGCGAAAAATGCAAAAAAGTTACACAACTAAACACTGCTCTCAGAATTCAGGATTGTTTTTCTGCTTAAATATTCAGTTGAATGCACAGCACAAAAAACACTAGGTTATAGAACAGAGGTTGGTAACATTTTTGGCTAGTGCCAAAAAACACTCCAACCCTGACCCATGCCTCGACTTGGCATGCCAGAGGCAGGAGGTGGGAGAGTGGCAAGGGGCCCAATCCTTGGTGCTGGTGGTGGCTGCAAGTTGCCTCCAGATGGATGGCAGGGAAGGCGCCCAGGTTGCACTGCCCTTGCCCCTTTCCCACCCTGAGGTGCACTTGTAGTTGCTGCCAGCACGGAGCCAGTGCCAGGGCTCTGGAGCCCAGTTCGGCTGTTTGCAGCCTGCCTGCTACAGCTGCCCAGAGCCTGGGCTTGCAGACAGGAGCCTGTGAACAGCTGCGTCGGCTCCAGAACCCTAGCTGGGCTCCGTGGCAGTGGCAGGTGCTCATGTGCCTCCAGCTGGATGGTGCGAGTGGGGCCTGGGGTAGTGCAACCCTGCCCCCCCACTATTTACCTGGAGGCGCGTGTGCAGCCGTTGCCGTCATGGAACCTGGCCAAGGGCTCTGGAGACTGGTGCAACTGTTTGCAGCCTTTTGGCTGCAGCTAGCTCAGGCCAGCTGTAGCATGCCAAGCAAAATGGTCTTGTGTGCCATGCTCTGATACATGTGCCATGGGTTGCTGACCCTTGTTATAGAATGTTCCACCACATTAGCTACAGAAAAGTGTCACATTCAAGGGTGCATGGAAAAATTGCAGCCAATAGGCTGCAGTATGGAAATAAATTAAAGTCAACTGTTCTAATTGGCTTATCTGCTTTTATTACAGTAGTACTGAAAACTATGATTAATTTAGAACTGAAGCATTAAAAATATGAATAAAAAACACAAGGGTTTCTCTTGGCTTTCCCTCATTCATCCAAAACAAACTCCATGCTTGTCTGCACAAAGAAGTTTGCCAGCAGAACTGTAGCCTACCTACTTTTAAGTCACTGCTGCAACTGCAGTATAGTATAGGTATACCTGAGCCAGCTTTAAACTGGCTAGGTTGCTACCAGTAGCAATCTAGCCACAGCAGCATGAAGAACAGCTCAACTGCAAAACTCACTGAGCTACCTGATGTCATGCCTGAGCTAAATAATTTAAAAGCTTATACCTACACTATACTGCAAAGTAGATGTGCCTTATATCTGTATTTGGACACAGCACTGCACGTTTTTCCATTTAGCCTGTGTCTTTTCCAAAGTGGTATGAATTTATTTGGAATAAAGATCCTGTGGTACTAGCACAGGTGTGACCACATGAAGTTATACTGGCATAAGCATAGCAGTACAACCATGCTGATAGAACTAGGCCACTAGTTTCCCCCATGCAGAATACTTTTATGAACTAGACAACAGATATATTTGCCAAGCCTTAGCCCAATGACTTGTTAGTTACCAATTGTGAAATGCACCTGAACACAGGTTTTTAATGCAACCAAGTGACAGATACTTTAAGCACAGCAGCAGTGCTAGAATTCTGGTATTTTGTGCAGTAACATGCAGCAATACAATCTTTGGAAAAATATACCCTAAAGGCTAGGTACAGACATTCAAAAAGCCTGAGATGGAATCAATCTAAGTTACACAGTTTTCTATAAGGGGCATAAGTTTAGATTGGTAGTGAACAGAACACACATTCGCCCTTTCGTGTGGGGACAAATCTTAGACTGGATTCCTCCATTTTTAAACCAATCTGTGTGCACCAAATTTCTGTTCTGTTATGGGTACAGACTGGTTTCCAATCACTTTTACCGGTAAAAGTGTAATGTCTGTACCTAAGTGATTTCTTCATGCATGAACTGCAACTTGCAACTCAGAATCCCCCATCCCTCTTGTTCTCTGATCTCAGAAGATAGCCATTTAAATATTTTAAACTATAGTTTATTTTCCCACTACACTTGGAAGCATTTGTAAACTAGAGCAAGATTACCCAAAAGAAAGAAAAAATAGGCCTCCTTTACTAGAAGTTTTGACCAAAGATATTAAACTACAGACCACCCCAATCTTGAACTTTACATATATTAGTGAATAATTGGCTCATTGCAGCAAGGGACATTCCATGATTACCACAATGAGTGGACTTAAAAGTATGCAGGGCCACTGAAGCTGGTCAGTTCCCATATTATACCAAGGGACTCAAAGACAAATCAGGACAGTCAGGCTGAATGCATAGAATCTAAGCTGCTGTGAGGATTTACTTCTCTAGTACATTTATATTTGGTGGTGCAAGAGTGATGCCGTAGCCATGATGGTCCATAAATTACGCGAGAGACAAGGATTTCTTAGGGTGATATTTTCTATTGGATCAACTGTGGTATGTAGTTGGGATAATGTTAGACAAGTGTTTGAATGCAAGACATTTCAAATCCTGCAACATGAGGAAGAATATTATTGCATTCAAACGCTTGTCTAACTTTATCCCAAATACATAGTTTGCCCAATACAAGGTATCACCTTAAGAAATCCTCGTCTCTCACAATTATATTTGCAATACATGGTGCTAATCTATCATCAGCTTCCTACTCACCACTTCCTGATCCCAAGCTTACAGGGCAATTCTTTCATGCTCTGAAGACTCACATAGGGAAGTTCAAATGCTGCCACTTTTTTCACAACTGAAGGTCGGGTGGGAGGGGAAAAAAGAAAAGAAATATTGTTGAATCCTCCCTCGAAAACAAAACAGGTATTTTAGTATTTCATTAACACTCAATCATGGTCATGCATAATAACATTCATTGTGTAGATGAAAAAGGACTTCACAAAAATCAGGTCTGAGAAAGATAAAGCAACAACTATGTTGTTTAGATTTCCCCATTAATCTAACCTTAAGGAGCTTCAAACTACAGTGCTCCTCATTTATGCATCTCTGAATTAATCTTAATCTGCCCTGCCTTCTGCCTGACTTCAGACTAACATAGCTAACCACTTATTTCTGTCAAATCCCATGAAAGAAAGGAGGAGGAGGTTAATTAGTATAGATTTCAAACAAGTTTGAGCAGACAGGACATCTGCAGATACAGCTCCAATGCAGACCTTTGTGATTTTGTTACATGAGCAAGGTTGGCACAAAACGATTCATTGCTTGAAAAAAACAAAACAAAAACAAAAACAAACCAACAAAACAAAACAAGAATGCTCTCAGGAAGGTGCAAGTACAAGTCTCATATTCAGTGGGGATTAATTTCATAAGGAAGTCTTCCATAAAATGGAGGGTCTCACCCTGCATCTCTTCAGTTAAGACTCCAGTTCAGCAAGACACTTAAACACCTCCCTGACTTTAAGCAGGCAAGTGCTCAGATTCCCAGCTCTAGGTTTGTGTTGACTTAGCATGTATGGCCTTATAAACAGTTCTGTATGTGCACCCGGGGAATGCATTGCTCATTTATAAAGGTAAATAAATGCAATATGCAGAAAAAAATGCTCCCATATGCCACTTATTTTTATGCTGTAGCACAATGAGCATGTAATTTCATACATGACTATAGTAAAGCGCTATGTAAATTTATACAAGAGGTGCCAGAGCAAGAGATGCTTATTGCATAGGAGAACCCAGGGACCTCACATGCTCAGCACCACATTCTTCTTCTCTCATCCCTGAAAGCATGAACTATTTCAGACATTAAGTGATAAAAAAATAGGCACATATAGCGAGGCTTGGCAGCATTTCCTGCCACACTGAGGAAGTCACCTACACACTACATCAAGCACAGCCCTTGTGCCCAGTAATTTGGCACCATTTGCAATATGCATTTTTTTTGCTAGAAACCTATAGAACACTTTTTCAATGATGAGCCTTAAAGCACTTTCAGAAGTGCAGGAACTGAGGAGGAGAGGGGTTAAATGACGTGGCAAAGGTCAAATACAGGATCAGTAACAGAGCCAGGAGTCTAGTCTTGGTGTGAAATCCTGGTCCCACTGATCTCTGTGGAGAAGCTACTGTTGACTTAATGGAAGTCAGGATTTTACCCTCATTCTCCTATATCCTGACCCTGGCTTACATCCACTAAATTACCACTGGCCACCTGTGGTAAGGATATATACACAAGAAGCATATAAAAGACTAAAAAAAGAAAGATACAACTATGCAGATAATCATATTCTAGATTTCGGTCACATTCAGGTTCATCACTGTCAGGAACTCTGTAAATTTCATCAGCTAAGAAATGGAAAATTAAGGTATAAACTAGAACCAGTTAATGTTTTGCCTTTGTATGTAAAAGCTTTGGGTTTGATAAATAGCTTTTATTTCAGAGTATAGTAATTGGCAGAGAAACCTAAAATGAAAACATCTAGCTAAGTGCTCAACAAAAAACATACAAGTCACCAAGTTGCTACATGCCTTGTAACTTAAAAGGAATAAAAACATCCTTAAATGAAAAGTTCATTGTGCTTAGAACAACCCTCACCCACTTAGTACCATGCTTTGTTTGCTTCCCTCTCTCCCTCCCTTGGTGACTGGGTCATACATAAAAATTTCTAAAAATTGCCTGTTCCAACCCTGAGTTAACAAAACTGATGTGTCTGTTAGGTCAAACAGCAGAACTTCATGCTTTTCAACCCAGAGGTGCCATCTTCAATTCCCTCTGCAATGACACCTGCAGGTGCACTGCGTTGTGCCTTGAGCATAGCTTACCAGAGACAGTTCCACTGTTGTGATCTTGAATAAAAAATAAACTAAAATATCCGATCAGTTCTCTTGACAGTCCCATCTTGTATGAGGCAACCTTTAAAAAAAAAAAACACACACACACACAAAAAAAGTACCTATCCATCAGGACATGAATGGAGTAAAACCATTCTGCAACTTACTTTTTATTTTACACTGCTCCCCTTTCTAGAATAATAATTATTTGAAAAAAAATGAATGCTCCAACATGGAAGTGGTTAAAATTTATCATGGTATTTGCAGTATTATGAGGATTGTCAATTCACAGCCCAGTGAGAACTACAGGGCATACACACACTTGGATATTTCACTTGTTTACATGGCTGCTTACTGGTACAGACTAAACCCTGGGGGAAAACCAAAACACAAACACACATCTGCCCTTGTTGAGCTGATACAGTCCCACCACATCCCCAAACACATTGTATCTACAAAGTCTGCAACTAGTTGGTAATTCTGGTCTAGATATCAAGGGCCTAACCTTCAGACACCTGTTTCAGTGCATTTCAGCCTAGCCTTCAGAACAGTATTTGGCTGCTATGAGGCACAAAACCAAACTAGTAATGGTTTATTATTTGTACTGCAACAGCAGCTTTACATGCTAGCACCATGGTATCAGGTACTGTGAAAACAGCCTATGAAAAGCTTATGATCTGACTCTAGACACCAAGTGGATATAAGCCAGACAGGGAACAGAGAGGACTGGTGAGAAGTGGTCAGCATGATAAGCTGTAGTCACAGTGCAGCAGTTGTCTTGAACTATGTCTAAACTAAGGCTAGAGCATCTTTGGCCATACAGGTGGGCACCAGGAAGTTTAAACAGATTTGGCCTGAACCATATCAAAACAAAGTTAAATCTATTTACCCAAGACAGTAGGACAGACTGGGCCAAAATGGCCAAACAGTTGCAGGGATATTGAGTAGCTGAAGTTTTTTGAGGGTAGAGGATGTGGCAGGGAGGAGTGCTGATGAATATAAACACTAGAGAAGACATTTATATAAAAAGGTTAGATACTTAAAATAGATAGTAGTCAGCTCATGGGTAAATCTTAACTGCAAAATTAGCAAGTTCTAAATTCTGTTCTTTGTAGGTATTCCCTCTGATTTTTTTTTGGCCTATTTTCTACTAATATGCAAAGGAGATCATTGTTTTCTCTTCACAGCTCGTGCAGTTAGGAATGTGAGTAGGACCCCACATAGAAATACCTCTAGTATTCTTTCAGCTGTGTCCGACGTCTGGATATCCAGCCTAATATTCCTTCCGTCAGCCAGGTAAACATCTAGACAAGCCTTCTGTGGCTGGATCTTAAATGTATCCTGTTGAAGTGAAATATAAACAGGTTTACTGCTTCCCTGATATAGATACTGATGCTCTTCCTCCAAAGTAACTCCAGAGACACCAACTGGATTGTGGGAAGGAAACTGAAGCAAGACTGAAGCTGGGATGGGGAAGTACCACGCTGACTCTATTCCTACCTTCAGACTCAGAAGAGAGGCCCTATATATAAGAAGCAGAATTACCAGAGCAATTATCCTTCCCCTGGGAAACTTCAGAGATGTAGTTTTACCACAGGTTCTCATGTATTTGCTATATATCATATTACCAGGATGCTGTGCCAGAACCAGAAAGGCTCTTTAAGCTTCTCCTGAGCTTACAGCACCTTTCTGCAGTTTGATGTTGACATAGATGAAGAAATCCAACATTGCCTCAAATATGCAAATGCAGCCTTGGGACTCCTGAAGAAGCAGGTGTTCAAAGATTGCAACCTCAGATCCAAAACCAAGCTCATGGTTCTTATCAAGCAGCTGTGATCCCCACCTTGCTGAACAGAGCTGAGACATGGGCAACATACAGGAGACATTTAAAGTTGTTGGAGAAGTACCATCAAGGCTGCCTGCAGAAGATGCTTCGAATCCAGTGGGAAGACAGACACACCAACACTAGCGTCCTCCTGCAAGCAAACACTAGGAGTACTGAGGCAATGATCATTTGACATCAACTTCATTGGACCGACCATTTCATCCGGATGTCTCACTCCAGACTCCCAAAGCAAGTTTTATTCTCAGCTCAGTCAAGGCGTACGCTAAAGAAGAGGGCCAAGAAAGTGCATCAGGGACAACTTCAAGGCCAACTTAAAAAAATGCAACATCGATGTTAAGTCATGGGAGATTATTGTTCAGGACTGCCCCAAATGGAGGAAGAGTCTGCCTCAGGGATCTCAGTACTTTATAACCTCACAACATCAGGAGATGGAAAAGTGAGAGTGGCAGAAACAGTGTGTTGAGGCCTAAATCAAGAATCCAGCGTCACCCACCCCACACGGAAACCCACACTGTCCGAGCTGCAGTGGAGTCTGTTGATCCTGGATAGGCTTCATCAGCCATCTTTGGATGCACAGATAAGACCATCATGAAAGACAATCATCCTCGACTGCAAGGGATTGCTGAAGAGAGAATTTAGGGTTTGAGTATCCTGGAGAAGAGCAGACAGAAGGTTTTGCACCACAGATGTTTCAGCCTTGACTCTGCCTGCTTTGTTTGAACTACTTTGCCACTGTGAGCCCTTGGGGAAGAGGTCGACAAACTTGTACTTTGTATGCTTGTGCACACATATGCATGGAACTACAAAAAATGGAGTAATCTGATTTTTTTTTTTTTGGAAGATCATGGATTTAAATTATTCTGAAGATTAGTTCAGCCCCAAAGAAGTAAACAGTACTAATGTTCCTCACACATATCAAAGAGCAAAGCTTTATACCATCATAGAAATATAGCCCAGGTCTTTCTGTAAAAGGAACAAACACCAGTGAAGATCCCCGTGCCTATACCAGGGAGGTGGTTGATATAAAGGAGGACTCATTAAACAAGGATGCAACTTGAAACTGGTTTGCACAATTTAATATTTATTTTACAGACAGGAGCTGTTTAAGATGTTATTTATATTGAGCACAGCAACCACATCATGGGACCTTGTTACAAAACAGCCATGCCTGACTTGGTCCCAGAGTGAACCAGTGCAAGAGCTAGTAAAGTCCCAAATGGGAGTATGCAGAGCTGTCCAGTGCTACTGACACCACTAGACTAAGTTGTATTTTAATTGCATTGAACTGGGTCCCAAGTAAAGGAGAGAAGTAAGTATATCTGTGCAAAATTGTATAATTTAATACTTCCACTACAGCAATTTAAATTTGGGAAAGTACATGAGCAGCCAGCACACTGAACTAAAAAGAAGGGAAACATTTTTCTGGGTTTCATTCCTTCATTGAACCTGTTTAAAACCCGAGACCTGAGCTAGCCAAGAATAAGGCAAGATTCATGCTTTTGGAAGTTACCAGGTTTTGAAGGGTAACATATTAAATAAATTCAGTGCATTTATCATTTCTCTTCTCTAAAGCTCATTTTTCATCTTGAAGTAATCCCAGCTCTTTGTGATAAAAATAGAGACTAGGAAAAGCTGGAGTGGAACATGTCAAAAGAAGATAAAACAGAGTAATACAACTTCCTGAGGATGCCCTGGCATTGGGATGAATCCAACAACCAAGGCTGTCTTCGCCACTGTGTGAGACTACACTGAGGGTTTGCAGGGAGAGCTGGAGAAGGTTTTGGTCCATAAAAGGCACAGAAACTCATGCAAGAGCAAAACAAGCAGCTCCTTCAGACAGTCCAGGACACAGATGAACTGCTAAAGTAACAAAAGGGAATGACCACTCACATCAGGGTTCCCTGCATTGAGTTACCATATTTCCAGTTCCAAAAAAGAGGACACCTGTTGTGCAGAAAGGGGTGGGGGGGAGGAACTGGTATATGACTGTAGGGGGGCAGTGATATGCCGGTGCCCTGCCCATTCCATTGCCCTTCACTCCCAAGCCACAGCCCTCCCCACCCCCAAGCCCTGCTGCTGCCCCTCACTCCTGACCCGCAGACTACTGGCCTTGCCAGTGCCCGTCACTCCCAACCTGCAGTACTTTGCCCCTCTGGGCCATGCTGATGCCCCTCACTCCCAATCCACAACCCACCCCATCCCTGCCAGTGCCCATCATTCCCAACCCACAGCCCCCTGCTCCCTCCAGCATTTTCCAGCTGCCCCACCCCTCACCCCTGTGAGCAAGGGCAGACCCCTGCCCTGTCAGATGGCCCACGCAGCTCCCTGCTGCCCCTGAAGGCCCCCCCCAATCCCCTTCCCCTGCTGGAGGGGTAGGCACAGTGCCTGGACAGCTTCCCTCAGTGCTGGCAGGCAGACACCCACCCCCCTCACACTCATTCCCTCCACATACACACCCCCCCCTGCAGCCCCCTGGAAAGTCCCCAAG